ACCTCATCACTTGTTCAGAGCACTGATATCCTTTCTTAAGGACAACAGATCCTTTTCTTTAAGTCCTAAAATTTGATCTATTTTTCCAAAGTCTCCATTTGCATAGGGGGTATTACTGTTTATTAAGGAACTCTATTCCCAGCACATTTTTAATTTTTAGAAAATACCAGAGGAGCAGCATCTTGATGCAGACTGTAGCAGGGAACACTGTGTGACTACAGTATGGCTTAGATATAACACATGTACTGTAGAGAAGACCATATGCTTTCCCTCTCGTGCAAACCAGCATGAAAGCAGATCTGTACACCAGAATTATGATGAAACAAGAAATGAATAATTGTGCTGCTATAACATCAGTTTAGAAAAGAAAGTGTTACACATGTCAAATAGCCTTCCCTCTGGTGGCACTAGGACACACATGGTGTCCCCAGTGACTTGGGGAAGGAAGAAATTCCAGCCCTAGTGGTCGCAGAAACCATGCAGTTTGAACAAATGGAAGGAGCAGCCTCAGCTGACACTGCAGCACGCTGTTCAACTCAGCTGCAATCAAATGCTTTTTTACTTTTCAATCTAAGCATTCTTCCTATCATGCTCAGTGGCTGTTTGCTTCAGCTTCATTCCTGCTTCTTTTCTCAAGTGTCTCTTCATTTGAATCACAGTTCCAACTGCTCACTCCTTCCTTTCCCTTTTCTCTTTCCCTGACTACCCGCCCTGGTCCCTCTCTCTTCTTTTCCTGTTTTTTCAGCTAAGAGCCTAAGAACTGCCACTGACTGGGTCAGACCACAGGTCAACCTTGCCTAGCAGCCTGTGCCTCACAGGGTCAGACAGTGGATGCTGAAAGGGAGGATAAACAGGGTTTTACCAGGTTTTTTCCACTGTTCCTCTTTCACTTGCAGCCTCTGGCATTTAAAGTCTAGGACGTTCTGATTCAGAAGCTGTAGTCCTAACTCCCATACTCAATACCTACTGATGCACCTCTCCTCCTTGAATTTGTCTAATCCCTTTTTGAATCTGGCTAAACTGTCAGCTTCCACAACACCTTGTGGGAATGAATTACACACTTTACATGCTGTGTGAAAATGCACTTCATTTTGTTAGTTTTAAATTTACTACCTACTAGTTTCCTTTTGTGACCCTGAGTTCTTGTATTGTGAGAGAAAGTAAATAATAATAATAATAATAAATAGTAATTAATTTCTCTTCACCATTTAGTGTTTTGCAAACCCTTATCTCATCCCCACAAGCATCTCTTTTGCAAACTGAATAGGCCTAGCCTCTTTAGTCTCTCCTCATATGGAACCCCTCCATGCTACTCATCATCCTTGTTGCCCTTCTCTATACCTTTTCTAGTTCTTCCATATCATTTTTGAGGTGTGAGGACCAGAACTGGACACAATATTCAAGGTGTGGATGTACCATGGATTTATAAAGGGGAATAATGATACTTTCCATTTTGTCTACAATTCCTTTCTTAATAAACCTTAACTTTTTTTTGTCTTTTTGATGCCTGCTGAGTAGGGCTGTGCGAAGCTTCAATCCCTGATTCGATTTGGTGGAGATTCAGCCCGATTTGGTGGTCGAATCTCTGAATCCAAATTGAATTAGAGGACCCAATAATCTCTCCGAATCAAATTGGAACCCTCCAAATCGATTTGGAGAGATTCAGAAAGATTTGGACATAGACACAGCTTTAAATGTTTTTTCTACATACCTCTAGGTAGCAGGAGCTCGTGAGTGCTGCAATGCCTGGGCGCATGGAGCATTTCACAGAAGCATGGGGGGCTCCCCAGCACACTTAGCAGCAGACGCAAAAGTGGACCAGCACCACTTCCAGTCCACTTCCAGGTCCGCCAGGGAGCACGCAGGGCCCCCCCTCCCCATACTGCGCCACCCTTGGCTTGGTGACTGGTGCCTCCTGGGTCTGGACAGGGGGCACATGGGGTCCCCCTGCAGCCGATCACCAAGCCAGGGGGGTGCAGAGAACCCCTACGCACTCTCCGGCAGACCCGGAAGTGGACCAGAAGTACTTGCAGTCCGCTTCTAGGTTTGCCGCTGAGCATGTGGAGGGCCCCCTGCACTCCTGTAGGATGCTCCATGCATCACAGTAACCGTGAGCTGCGCCTGCTACCTCAAAGTATGTAGAAAAAACTTTTAAAGCTATGTCTATGTCTAAATTGCTGATTCCCTAAATCAGCATCAAATTTTTGGATTCAGCTGAATCAAATTAGGGACAGTGATCTGAATCAACAAATTGAATCACTATCCCTGATTTGGGCTGAATCCGAATAAAATAGGGTCTGCTTCGCACACCTCTACTGCTGAGCACAGAGCTGATGTTTTTAGTGAACTGTCCACACTGACTCCCAAAACTTTTTCTTGTGTAGTAACAGCAAATGTAGAGCCCATCATAACGTGGGTATAGTTTGGGTTATTTTTACCCATGTGCATCACTTTACTCTTATCTGCATTGAATTTTATCTGCCATTTAGCTGCCCATTCACTCAATTGTGCCAGATCCTTCTATAGATCCTTACAGTCTGTCTTGGTCTTTAGCACTGAATAATTTTATCATCTGCAAATCTGGTTATTTTGCTACTCACCCTATTTTCCAGATCATTTATGAATATAATATGTTAAGCAGCACCAGTCCCAACACAGAACCCTGGGGGATCCATTGTCTACTTCTTTCCATCTCAAAAACTGATCATTTATACTCCCTCTTTGTTTTCTATCTTTAAGACAATTTCTAATCCATGAGTGGACTTCCCCTGTAATGCCAGGACTACATAACTTACTTTAGCAGTTCAAAAAAATCAAAAAGCCTCTGAGCTGCTTAAACCCCTTGACATAAGAGGTCCATAAGCCATATACTTGTCTTCTGTATTTATTGTCAGCTGAGGGCACGGGGTTTTAAGAAGTGCACATATTCTAAAGCATTATCTTAATTTTTCATTATCTTAATCTTTCAACTATTAGAATTTCAAATATTTTAAGTTAGAACATTTATTTTAAAAGACTAAATCAGTGACATTACTCTTGTGTCTGGCTGTAAAACAAAGGAATTAGCACTATCTCTATTAAGTATTCTAGAAAGCAATATGTTCCTGTTTCTAAGTGCTAATATAGATAAAACAGTTTAGTCTAGAAACACCCTTCTCCTCATTAAAATCATGCTAGGTTTAAATCTGTTTGTTCAAAACAGCAAACTGCAATGCTTACACAACAGATGTAAAAAGATGGCTGCGTTTTGCTCAGGTTACACCTGCATATTCAGTTTTAGGGACCAGTTTTTGTTCCATCCACCAAAAAAATCAGTACCACATGAATATTTTTGAGCAAAATACTTCAATATTTTACACTATCCAGATGTGATCTATTACTGAAGATATTTTGCTACATCAGGACTGGAATGAAATAATATTTAAGTAATTTTAGGTTTAGCTTTGATTTATCTAAAGATTTCTTTGGATGTTTGTTCATAGATTTCATAGACATTAGGGCTGGAAGGGACCTCAGAAGATCATCAAGTCCAGCCCCCTGCCCCAGGGGCAGGAAGTCAGCAGGGATCATAGGATCCCAGCAAGATAGACATCAAGATGTCTTTTGAAGGCGCTCAGAGTAGATGCTTGAACCACATCTGGCGGCAATCTATTCCAAACCTTGGGGGCTTGGACAGTAAAGAAGTTCTTCCTTATGTCCAGCCTGAAACGGTCATGGAGGAGTTTGTGACCATTTGACCTTGTCTTCCCTTTGGGGCGCTCTTGTGAACAAAAGTTCCCCTGGATCCTGGTGAGCACCCCTGATAAACTTATAGGTGGCCACCAGATCACTCCTTAGCCTATGCTTTTCCAGGCTGAAGAGTTCCATGGCTCTCAGCCTCTCATCATAAGGTCTGTTTTCCTAACCTCTGATCATGTGCGGCTCTCCCCTGCACTCTCTCAAGCTTCTCCACATCCTTTTGAATTGTGGAGCCCAAAACTGGACGCTGAGTACAACGGGAGAATGACATCATGTTCCTGCTGTCCATAGTGTTAGCCAGCCGAGCCTATAAGGATGCTGCAGGTGGAGAACCTTGCATTTTTCGGTGTTAAACACCATCAGGTTCTTGCCCGCCCATTTCCTGAGCCTGTCAAGGTCAGCCTGGATCACCCTCCTGTCTTCAGGTGTGGACACTTTACCCCAGAGTTTGGTGTCATCGGCAAACTTGGCCAGTCCACTTCTGATACCAATGTCCACATCATTGATGAAGTTGTTAAATAGTATAGGCCCAAGGACAGAGCCCTGGGGGACCCCACTCGTCACAGGGCACCATGACAATTGACTTCTGTCAACCACCACTCTCTGTGTCCTACCACGGAGCCAATTCCCCAGCCAGTAGATCATGGTGTGGCCAAGGCCACAGTTAGCCAGTTTTACTAAAAGGTGATCATGGGATACCAGATCGAAGCCTTTTTTAAAGTCAAGATATACAACATCAATGTCTTCTCCTTTGTCCAGGTGATAGGTCACCTGGTCATAGAAGGAAATAAGATTGGTCAACCAAGACCTACCCACAACAAACCCATGCTGGCTATCCCTCAGGATGTTGCCATCGCCCACCCTGTTAAGAATGGCCTCTTTGATAATCATTTCCAAGACCTTCCCCAGGATAGAGGTCAGGCTGATGGGCCTATAGTTTCCTGGATCCACTTCCCTCCCTTTCTTGAAGATAGGGACCACATGGACCTTCTTCCAATCATCAGGAACTTCACCAAAGCACCAGGAGTTCTTGAAGATCCATGCCACGGGCTGGGCTATCATGCTGGTGAGCTCCTTGAGAACCCTGGGGTTTAAACTGTCAGGGCCGGCTGACTTGAAGGTGTCCAGCCTCTCAAGGTGTTCCTTCACGAGGTCAGGATTGATGAAGGGTAAGGAATCTCCCTCACCCAGGCCTCCCTGTCCCGTAGTGGGCAGGGGCATCTCATGGGACTGATGAAAGACTGACACAAAGTGCCCATTTAGCAAACTGGCTTTTTCCTGGGCATCAGTTTTCAGTTGTTCCATCTGGTTTATCAGGGGTCCAATTTTAACCTTGCTTTTCCTCCCTATACCCCCGCCCCTTTTGTCCACTCAATCTCTCCTATACAGGGTATAGCTGTCTATACCTCTGGTCCAGTCATGGGTAGAGTCCCACCAGGTCTCTGTTATCCCTATGACATCGTAGTTATTTGTGTTAAGCAGGAGGACAAATTCCTCTTGTTTATTCCCCAAGCTCCTGGCATTTGTGTATAGGCAGGCAAGTGTCCCTTTGGGGGCCCCTGCCTTGCTTACAGTTCATTCCAGGGCTGGGGCAGGGGTGGGATCCCTTAAGTGCCTTGGCCTGATGGCTTTGCAAGGGTTGCTCAGCAGGTGAGCAATGGCAGTAATCCCCCCATCCCCCAGCAGGCTTAGTTTAAAGCCCAGTGGA